GAAAAAAAGAAAAAATGTTTGCGGTTTTTACTCAAAGTTTGAAGATGATAAGAAAAGTTTATGTGGAGAACTTGATGACAATCAAGGATTTGGAGCTGAGATGAAAACTAACAAAAAATATTGCGAATAAAGTGATTTTCAGGATATTTAACTTCTGGTAAAGTAAAAGAAAAAAAACACTTTTAATCTTAAGAATATTTTTTTTTGGTTCTTTCAACCTGTTAAGCAATTGCCAATCACGGTTAAGGTAAAAAGTTTTCGATTGTTTTATTTTCAATTAATTTTTTGTGCCAGAACTTTTCATCTTTTTTTATTTTTACCGCGCAAAAGCTGAAATGAATTATGATCTAGCAATTGTCGAATTTATAAGCAAGGATTTTACTTCTGCTAGTGGACTCAATAACAAATCTTAAATTTTTGTTCAACTAAAATCGTTTAACTCAGTTGGTTTTTTTTTCAGTAGTTGAGTTCGGAAAAGTGTTCGTTCTTTCAATATTAAGATTGGAAAATTCTTAATTCTTTCAGTAGTTGAAATTGGAGAATTTTCGTTCTTTCAGTGTTTGAGATTGAGAAGCTGTTCATTTTTTCAGTACTTGTGATCGGAAAGGTGTTTTTTTTTAAAATATTTGAGATTTAGCTGGAGAGTTCACATTGTTGGTGGTAAAGGAAATTGAACTGTTGGACGGTCTTGCTGATGGCGTAAAAAGTAGATTTAATTTAAAAACGTAACATCAAGACGTAACTATTTATGTTATTGGAATCTGCAAACAGTCTGCTCGCAATATTTGGCTTCCGGATACAGCTGCGGATTCCGCAACAACTCAATCTGATTATACTTATGTTTTATCGATTCCTTGAATTGTTCCTGATACAGTAAATACTGCTGTGTAATGCGCTAATTCACCTATTTTGAGATCTATTTTGAGCGATACAGTGTTTTAGATATTTGATTGCTGAATCTAAAACAGCAGAGAAGATCTAAATAAAATAGCACTGTTGCGGAATCGCTTACAATTCAGAAAGTTCACAGTGGGGCCTCGCAATAGAATAGACTGTGCATTTTATCAAAATAAAAGCTCAGAATCTTTTCACGGCTGAATACTCTGAAAATCTACACGGACGTGCCCATACCCTACAGTTTATTTCTTATGTGTAAGGCTTGCAACATCAAAAGTTTTTTGGCTGTTTTAATAATATGTGAAATTCTATCGGTTTTGTCGCGTAAAGTCGCCCCGTTAACTTCACCACTAGTATCAAACACGGTTTTCAAGTTTTGCTTCGAAATTATCCGAGCAATGCTTTATAATATTTGCTTGTCGCACATTTTTCGATTCTTTATTTTGATTGTAACAAACTTCTGATAAAAATCCACACTAAGTTGGGCCATCTAATTGAGACAAACAGATAACCGTATGATGTATTGAAATTGCAGCGGTTGCTGTGATTCATGTCAACATGTCACAAAGTAGCGGAAAAAAAGAAATAGAAAAAACACTCGTGCACAGTTTTGGTTGTCTACTGTCCCTCCAGTTTTATAAATAGAATTGGCAAACTTACTAGATATTACACAACAGTGTGTGCGATTGTTGGTCCTCTTACGAGTTTTGAGCTACCGGGAATGGAAATGATTTTTTATTCGTGTTTATTTGATTTTTTTGCAATTTAAAAGCTTTTCTTGTACACGCAAAAGTAGGTACCACAGATAACCATCAGATTCTTAAATAGTCATGATACGAGCACAATTAAGTCATGATACGAGCACAATTAGAATACTATAAAAAATCTTACTCCGAGTCAACAAAAAGTACTAAGTTTGCCTTTTAATCCAGTTTCGAGCAGGCAAAGGCGGGTTAACGTATGTTAGATGAAATTTATCCTCCAGTGAAACAAGTGTTTGTAGCTTTATTTGGTGTTTCTGAAGAAATATACAAGGTAAAAATTGGTGAAAAAATTGGAAAAAATGATGATTATGATCAAATCACTATAGTTCCAAGCTTTTGTCTGTTCACTTCTAAAAAATAATTGAACCGAAAGACTTTTTTTGGTTTTCATGTGTTCGGAACTTTCTATTATACTTCCACAGCAATCGGCTAGACTTGTGTTAGTCTAAGGTTCCGTAACAGTATTTAGACAACCGCGTATTCATACTCGTCAGTAAGCAGACAAATACTATATAATAACCAATCAGAATATCGAGAACAGGAAGAAATGAATAATCATTAATTTTTTTTAAAATAAATTTGCTTTCGCATCTCGATTCTGATTTGTTAATCTAGTATTTGTCTGCTTACTGACCGTCTACTGACAATACGCGGTTGTCTTAATACAGACCGCACTCCATGAAATTACATGTCCCTACTTGAAGGGTTGCCTTTCTAGGGTATAGTCTACGTGTGGTATAAATGAATGTATATGTTTATGACTGCAGAAAATGTTTCAAGTGTTTGCATTCGAAATTTAGTGGAACTCGAAATTTATTTCAGCGCGAAATCAACATTTTAAGTGATTATTCCATGAGTTATTGTTGGAAGCAGTGTTTGATATATTTCGTCTAGTTTATATCAAGTGCTGCTAGCGATATTTTACATTTGTACATTTTTGTTCCGACTTTCGCAACGAAAGCAACGAAAATTTGTGCTCGGGTGGGTTTTTTCTTCGGAAAATTTCGCCTGTTTAACTAGCCATTTTTGATGGAACTTTTTTATGTCAATCAAAAGGCATTGTTGTCCTGAGCTTAAATCTGAAAAGATATGTTACCTGTGATCATTTGTCGTAAAGTTATGGGGTTTACAGGTTGCCAATTTGGCCAATTTGGGACATTAACGCGCGATATATTTGGCGCTATTACTGCGTAAGCTGAGTTTTATTCCGTCCTATAAATCGTTCCAAGTTGGTTGAAAGAAGCTTATTTGCCATTGTTGTTCCAATTTTTCGAAAAAAAAAATGAAATTTTATGCTCGGTGTGGTTTTTTTATTCAGTCAACTTTCGCCGATCGAAATAATAGTTTTCGACAAAATTTTTGATACCACATTGAAGATATCGAATTTTTGAGTTCAAATGTAAGAAGATATTTTACCTCCAATTTTTTTTTGGAAAGTTCTGGGGGTTTGAAAATTGCCAAAATGGCCATGTTCTGGACTACAGTATGCGCGCTTTAGAGAATTCATTCATATTGCTGATTTTTTATGCGTGGCGAATTATTCCGCTTAACAAAATCGTTCCAAATTGAATTGAGGCTAGCTAATCGGATTGGTCGATTGAATTTCGTACGACTCTACATTTCCTACTTTGATATGATACAAATTTTATAAAATTTATAAAAAATTCCCAAAAACTATTCGATATGAATTAAGGTATAGTCGGAACATTCAGGGCTTTGCCCTGATATAAGAGCAGTCTTGTTTGTTATAATGAACAAAATTTATCACTTTGTATTTTCTATGGGGTGATGATTTATCACTTTGTGGGATGATGATTTTCACAAATCTCAAATTTAGAAAAAAAATTCATTGTTTTTCATTACATATATATTTTTTTCATGCTATTACAGCTCCATAGATCTTAAAACGCAGTCAGAACAACAGATACGAGCAGTCTTATTTTGGTTTGAGCCATGTTGTTGTTTCTTTCTCACTTTTGCTGTTAAATAATGTTGCTGCAAAATAAAACACTACGTTGCTGCAAATAAAAAACATAAAATGCATACAATTACCATCAAACGTTACTATTCGATGTTCGATGTTTGGTTAAGTATTGTTACAACCTCACGCGCATACAATAACTTAAATGTGTTTTTAAACGTTTTTACTGGTTCTCTTACGGAAAAATGGCGGATTTGCTGAGTGAATTGAGAACATTCAAAGTTAAGTACCCTGGGAATGATGAGGTGCTTCTGAGAGATTCTGAAAAAATAGCCAAGTTCACAGAGCTGTATTTTGACGATTGGAAAGGGGGGAAAGTTGTTTCAGTTCCTCCTGTAAGAGATCCTCGCATATTCTTGGCCGAGACAGAAGTGACTAAATCCAAGAAGAAGAAACTGAAAACTTTATACATAGGAGAGAAAGGCGAAATTCAAGTTTACAGAAAACTTCTCAATCTAAGCCCCATTGCTGAAAACCATCACAACGGTCTCCTCATTTTCCCGAATTTTAATGGTAACTTGAAATTCAGTTCACAAGCGGGAAAAGTAGAGATTGATTGTATAATTCTTCATGTTTCAAAAGGCGTGTTTATCTTGAGTATCAAAAACGCCCAGAACATTGATCTAGATGAAATATGCGACGATTTGAGAAAGCATAAAGCATTTCTTCGGGCGCTTTGTGATTTCAGCACGTCGAATCCAGAAGCCATTCCCATACATGGTATTGTATGTTCTATGAGAAAAAACATAGATCGAAAATCTTTGGAAGCGAACAATTTTTTCTCGGCAGATGATGCACAAGAAAAGCAGCATTTTTTTATGCCGGACAAACAAAAAAGTTTTGAAGCTAATATGATAGAAATCATCAGCGACTCACATTCTTTAACCGAAGAGCGCCAAAAAATCTTAGAAGTTCTGGCAAGTCGTCTCATTGTTCTTAACTCGATGGAAGGTTCGATTGCTGTTTTTCACAACAAAATGATCCAGGATAAATTTCAATTAGTCAAAGTGAAAAAGGACAAAAAAAGAAAACCCGAAGAGCCCAGCACATCGAAAAAACCTGGCGCATCAGAAACACCGGGTGAGCCTAGTTCATTGAAAACACTGGCAGGAGCTCTGGAATCAATACAAAACGACAAAAAACGATCAATACTTTGGACGAAAGAACAGTTTGAGGCTATTTCTATTTTCTACGAAAAGATGCTTAGCTATTATAAGAATAACCAGCAAAATGGATTCCGATTACTCGTGCATGGACCGAAAGGCTCAGGCAAAACGATGCTTCTGCGCTGTTTCGCCTTAATAGCCAAGTCATTGTTCAAAAATAACATAATTGAAAAAGACCTACAAATCGTTGTTTGTGATGGTAGGAGAGGACAATCAAGGTTACTTCTTGATCACTTTTACGGTAACCTGTCGCCAGAGGGCGTTCAAGTTCTGAGCGGTTGCTTCCAAATAGAGAAAATCAAATCTGCCGACCTAGTGCTAGTGGATGAGTTTCTGTGCTTTCTCGGCGACAGAACTATACGGCAGGTGGATAGGAGCCAAAACTGTGTCATATTTTCGGCTGACAACTGCTTGTCTCTTTTTGATGCTGCTTCGGGAGCTGAAGAATCTTTTGCCGCTTACCTTAACGAGCCTCTTTACCTTAATGCATCTTTGCGATCAAACCTCGGAATCACCAAATTTGTTGGATCATTTAGAGATTACTTCGATTCACAAAATTTTGAGTTTGGTGCTTTTAGATCAAAAATTGGGCAAATGTCATGTCGTTGGGGACATAATTTAGAGGGCAGCCCGCCACATATTAAAATCGTATCTGCTTCTGATTTTGACAATGACCCATTACAGCTAACGTATGTAAAAGTAGCTGCAAATAAAATCCACGAAACGGTCAAAAAGTCAGCAGGACTCGATTCTGTTCTGGTTGTCTTGTACCTTCATTCTATTACCATTGGCATGATTATAGAGCAATTGAAGGCAAAGAATATTGAATACGAGTACCGGAATCCTATCGATATTTTTAGCTCCCAGACTTTTTCAGGTTCTGAAACGAGTACAACTCGAACGAAACCAACATTACCAAAAGTAGTTCTTCTCACAGGCCATCATTTGGATGGCGCAGAGTTTGGATCTGTGGTGGTCCTTCTGGAACGATCTCTTCCTCAATCCTGGAACGAGTTTCTGTTTGACAGGCTATTCGTTACTTTCACAAGAGCAACTATTGATCTAAGCATTGTTGTGAACGATTCACCTTCGGCTCCGTTGTTACGTAACATGCACACGAAAATTTCTTGTAAATCAGATGGGCAGTTTTCTCTTTCAGATGTCACAGATTTCAACGAAGACTATAACCATCGAGCTTACGAGTGGCTAAATGCAACCAGCGCTAACTTAGAACAAAAGCTTATTGATGTTATACAAAAATGTCTCCATTCCTTAAAAGGTCCAGTCATTTTGGTCGGAAATGTACCAGATGCTTCTCAACTCGTTGAATGTGACTCAAGTGGAACTGGATATCCTGAAAGCATTGCGAAAAACTTCAAGTGGTTCACATTTGTAGGTCAAAACAGGAAACTCGGTGTGCTGGACGACCCTTCAACCTTCCGCTTGGTTAATCATTCTTCGGTCAAATTCTCGGCTCTTGTTTTGGTTGCGAAATCTGAAGAAGAGTACTTCGCTATACACCAGAACATTACATACTATATACTGCTTTATCAGATGCATCAGAAACAACTGCTAAACAGTCCAATTTACTTTATAACAAGTTTCAAAACCAAAGACAGTGATACTGAAATCAACAGAATCTGCCAGTTTTTGTCTGAAAGGTCAGAGGGAAAAACACAATCCAACAGAGGTGGTGAGAAAGTTCAGATAGGGACGGCTGAGCTGGATGACGAGCATAAGAAAGCTATTTTAAAGCGTATGAGACTTGGCAGGCTAATTACACCAGCTTATCGGCTCCGTGATTGCCTGGAGTACTTATCAGATGAATTTGATCGTCATATAAGCGAGATAAAGCAGTCTGGCACCTGTGAAGCTGATGCAGAAGTGTGTGAACTGAATGACAGAATGCGTGAAGTTAGATTGGAGCTAGTGGAGCAGGCTACTGAGCTGGCCGATATGTTCTGCGAGGCCTCTCAATTACATGCGAACGAGGACAAGAAAAAACTATTCAAAAATGAAGCTGCCAAGTATCGCGAGAAAGAGCGACTATGGAAAGCGGAACTAGAACATTAACTTTACGCGAAATAAAAGTGCTCGTATCAGGGTAAAGACGCGAATGTTCCGGATGCCCTATAATTGGTCTCAAATAGCTTTTGGCAATTTTAATTTCATTAAAAACAAAATATAATTTACAAACAAAATACTAACTTTGGAAATTTTGTTTTCCCTTCCACTCATAGACTAGTATTCAAGCAACTAATTTTTAAAGTATTTTTTGATCTTGCTTGTTTTCCATAAAATTTTTTAAAGAATTATAAATTTTACACATTGAATGGCACTGGGAACACAACTGCTCGTTTTAGGGCGACGACCTGAGTGTTCCGACTTCCCTTGAGCTTGGGGTTTTGTGCGGGGGGATTGGTTTGAGAACTCAATTCTACATTAAATTCTACTAGAATGGTTCCGACTGCTGCTACTAGAAAAGTAGCTGATGCCCTATTAGCCTATTATGATACCAAGCTGGTAGCCTATTAAAGTCAGGTGCACTCAGGATCAACACTCGAACGTGTATCGTTTCTATGATGAAAACAGAAAAACTTTGAGCAAGTACTTGTCACCAAATTCAACAATCAATGGTTGCTTAGTTTTACCGCCACATTGAATCATCAGCATATATGACTTCTCATCTGAACAGTCCAACTCCAAATCTAGGAAGAAAGTTCAACTCTGTCGTGTTGTTATCGTCGTTTTGCACCAATGAAATGTCTTCATTTCGTCTCGCGACCGTAATCGTTTCGTCTTTTGATCGTAGTAGAACTTCGAATACAAAAGCTGTACCTATTGTATCTGATTCTAGTATATAATTGTATATGCAACCAGAATCGTAATTTTTAAGTATGTTGTCTTCTACCACTCCAACTTCAACTTTTCCAAATCCATTTGAAACTATACCATGCAATTTCAAACCATACCGCCCCTTGTTTTCAAATTATCCTTCCATGCTTACGCAATCAATTTTTTCAATGATGCCTCCTTAACTGTGAATTAAAGTTTCAAACTTTGTTTGCAAAAAAAGATGCCTTGATTTGATTACCATTACCAACCCTCCACATTTTCTGTGGTGTGCGCTGTTCAATAGCCGCTGTTTTGTCTGATACCTGTTTAGCTCAATTCTTACCGTTGATTTTACCCGTTGTACTCTAAATTGGTTGTAGTTTGTTATCATGTACACCGATTTGTATCAGATTTCTCCTGAGTTGCAGTTTGTTAAAATTATTTTTAGTGTGAACCTGTAGACTTGACCATGATTCCGTTTTGAGATGTTTCCGAGCAATCGAAATCTTTGATAGCATTTACCATGATTGCCAACGTATGCTTGTTCTTTGTTTTACTGCTGTTCGTTTGTTCTCCCGGTACCGATGTTTCTTCCGTACAATTGAAACACCGATTTGTAATTTTTTCTTGTTTTTGATAATTCTTTTTTCAAAACATTTGATAATGTCGTTCTTAGCTGTTTATCAAGAAACTTTTTCACATGTTTAGTTTTTTGTTACCGTGTAATTTTTTTGATTTTTCGATATTGAATTCCCAATCTTTTAGGACTCACAATCTCGCAATACCATTCTTACTTTTGTGTACTTCAATTACTTCCTACCTACCGGTCCAAATTCCAACGTGTATTGCCTTCCAATACCCATACTGAATCCTATATTTGAATACTGTCAATCAGTTTTGTTCAAATGCCGCGTCTTTGCAAAGTTTGCAAAAATTTCCTGAGAAGCCGACCCCAAAGCTGTTCCACTGTTGCGTTCACTTCTGTCCACAGGTTCCGTTTTGAATCTTGCATCAGTGATCATTCCTGAGGTGAGGCTGTGAAACAATGAGTTTGTATAAGATATTCAATGCCTTTGATGTCAGTACTAACTGATTTCACTTGTGTAGTGCTCAATAAGTAGTCTAAATGACACACAATCGTCGTACAATTGTCGTGATGTAGTCTTTTTGATCCAAAAAAAGGTTGAAGCAGAGCCGTCTGGTCATGCCACCTCAGCGGCAATGCTCTAATTTGGAAAAATTCCATCTAACTTTCCTGGTTTCTTAGGGTTCCTGTAGTTATAGCCACGAAAACGTACTTGCTTCCACCGTTTTGGCTATACTGACGAAGCTTATATCATTGGTTGTCTCAGTTACTCTTTTTAGATAGCCCACTGAAAAACCTTTGACATTACACATGATTCATCTTTCAGTTTTGATGTGACTTCAAAGCTTATTGTCCTAAATTTTAAGCAAGTAAATAGTCAGCAATACATTCAAAAAACTTGCTGTTGTTTGTGTAGACGCCATAGTAATCAAAGAAGTCCACTCTAGATTCCTGAAAAGCGACTGTTTGTGCCAAAACCTGGTAAGCGGGTATGTCTGCCATGATTGGTTGACTACTCAACTGACGTTGAAGTCGACACACGTTGCATTTTTCGGAGATATATTTAACTGCTCTCCCACATCAAAGGACCAAATGGTTTTGCTGCATAATATGCGCTAGTCGTTTTTTTCCGAAATGACAAAAAGAGTTGTGCAAAACTCCGAGTTTAGGCTCTTTATTCTGTTTCTAGCATCTAGAGTTATTGGAGAAGCCCAGTTGAGAGTAGCAGGAGAGTTTTATTTGGCTGTTAGAACGAAATATCTTTTCCGGATGCAGAAAAAAAGAAAAGGTTGTCAATCGACTTTTCAACGCAGCTGGAGCGTTTTAACGGATAATGCAAAAATTTTAGTTGAAAGCTAGTTGCTGTGAAAGTTTGAACAAAAAAATTTTGGCTTCCTTCTTTAACGATGCTTTCGGTGCATTTGTTTTGATGGTCGTAACATGAGCAATTTGTTGACCAGAGCTGGCTGACTCTGTTGATATCATAAAGTCGTAGGTTGATGACATCCTGTTGAAGTTCATTGCAGTTTTTTTAAATAATTTGAGTTCAGTGTTCCATCATTGGATTCCGAAATTCCGAACATGTGATATACAAGACGAAGTAATTTTTTTTCGCGTTCGTTCCTCTTTATTTCTTGGCACGCAAGACTTGCGTGTGCATCGATAAGGTTTCAATCATTAGCAAGGGTTGACTCTGGAGTTGCATCAATCCTTTCTGTCCACATGTTTATCGTGCGGAGTTTGAATGGAAGAAAGAGACCGGACTGGTGTTGCTCCTAATCTTTCTGCGTATGGTACCGTTCACCTTGTAGCTCAAGTCGAGGTTTTGTAGACTGTCGCAATGGGGCTACTCGTGTTTTGCGCACAAGGAAATTTACGGATTTGGAACGAGAATATTCCGCTATTCTTAACTCTGATGAATGCTCGTGCGGACAAAGAAGCATCATAATAGATCACAGCTTGTTCTCCTTGCAACCTATGGTGAAAAGCGTCGTCCATTTTTCACTGAATGTAGTTGACGTATATCATCAAGGTGGAAATTTTTCCCTATCCTGCTTGACCACAGGTTGGTCCCATCGATAAACTGACCGCCAGATTTTTAAGTTTGATTTCAGCTGTAATGAGGATTGGTGAAATCAGTCCGAGTGAATTGTAGAAACGAGAAGCCATTACAGAAACACGGAAAAGGAAAAGTAATTCATACCATGTCACCTAAGAGATCTGGTTCCGCTAGCAGTTTTTCATTCAGCTAGCGCTTCTAAACCGTACCTGAGCGTTGCTCATGCCTCTGATTTCATTCGGTTTTCGAATTCACAAGCCCGTATTGTGACATATACCATTTTCTATTGACTTCTTCATTATTTATTAACTTTCTGTGATAAAATTTTTGTAGATCTCTTTGTATGCCTTCATTGCGATTGCTGAACATTCTCGGATTTTTTAATACTAAAATTTTCGCAGACGTGTCCAAGCTAACAATTCGTTATTTGATAAAAATGAGTCTTCAGTTCATAGAAGTCCCATTTCATATCCTCTTTCTCGCTGGCTTGCTTGATTTTCACTGATTGAGACTTCTTTTTTCTCCTCAAACTTTTCAATTAGTCTTCTGATTGTGACAGAATGCAGATAAAACACAGCTAAAATAGTCTCCAACCCAGTCGATTTTTTGGCAGTTTCTTGGATTTTCTTTGCTGCGATTCCTACAAACTCCAGCTGTAATGGGTCAGAAGAAAAAACTATTTTTATTTCTGGTCCATTACCTTCCAAATTGTGTCCGAAATTTGAAGTAATTTGGCCCACTCTCGGTTTGGAACTTCCAAACTTGAAACCTTATGGATCGAGCTCTGTCCTAAATGACTCAACAAATCGGGTTATTCGAAGATTCGAACGCAACGATTTAGTTAATTTAATGCGTTCGAGCATTCTGACGACCGATGAAATCGACTTGCGAAGCAGGATCTAACATAGAAAAGAGGTTCTCCGCAGAAAAATTAACACAGTTCTGATGCTCACCGATTGCAATTAGAATTCTGTCGCCTAGACAACACAGATATTCATCGACCAGATTAAGGCTGGCGGATTTAAGTTTCTTTTTTTTCTGAAGCGACCACTCAGCACTTCCACGCCAACTCGGGATAGTTGAACCCGCAAGTGATCAAGCACTAAAATTGATTGTCCATTCCTGCCGTCGCAAACTGCGATTCCATGTTATCGGTCTTTAATCTTACCTCTCAACATTGACTGGGCCGTTTGCGCAAAATAGTACAGCAGCACTGTTTTGCCTGATCCTTTGGGTGCGTAAACCAACAGACAAAACCATTTCTGCAAATCGCTCTCCAAATACTCGTTACCCTTTTCGCTGAAAATCGAAAATGTGTTGCTTTGATCAACCGTCCAAAGTATCGAAAACTTTTTGCCGACTTAATACAACTCGAACTTTTTCCTCTGAATATGGTACCATTTGAACTCTATTGGAAATACCAGGTTTTTTGTTTTTATGAACTGAAACTCATCATTTACCATTTTTCTGTGCAAATCTGGAAAAGAGCGTTCAATCGAGGTCAAAATAATGAGATGATTTAGAAAACTGTCTAACTTTCTTCTCTTGTTTTTAGCCAAAGAATGAATTTTGTTTAAGACTTCTTGCAAATAAACATCGAAGTCTTGAGAAGGGTTCCAGATGTACTGTTTGTCGTCGGGGAAACTTCTCGAGAAACTCTTTTCCAAACAGATGAAAATTCGGCTCCGGTGTCATTTAGGTCTTGTTTTAGACATCATACAACGTCATTTAGAGGAAAAAATACGTCTGTTTTTTCGAAGTCACGAAGCGCTGTGAGGAATACTTTATGTTTCTTCATTTCTTTACAAAGTCTTCAGCCATAAGTCTTCAGCAATAGATGCGCATCATGTTTGAAGCAAGTCGTATCGGGTACTTGGGGTTGATGCACTGATTACTTATCTCAAAACGGAACTAAATGTAAAATCATTTAATTGTAAAATGGTAAGAAAATTAAGCTTCAACTAGCTATTTAGAAACAATCCTTTTAGAAACAATCCTGCTAACAAAATTATTTAATTTTCAAGATTGCTTATAATCGGAGGTTAGCAACAGGAGAACAACTCCTTTTGTAACATTCATAAAGTTTTGTTTTATTTAAAGTGGGTGTTTTTGTTTTTAAGTGTCTCAATCTGTTTTTAAGTAGTTTGTGACGTATTAGTCTTTTGGGAAGTATATGGACCAGTAGAACACGTTGAACAGCATGAACATGGCTGGGAATGCGACTCTGCAGAGTTCGTCAATGTGGCTGACACTGTTGAATTGTGTGGTTATGTGGTCCAGCTTGTATGTCTTGTACTGCACTGAGCCACATAGACACACCACGAATCGGATGAAGAATGAGTTCATGTCCTCGAACGGAGGCTCGTCCTCGTCCCTACTCATTTCTGCAGTACCACTGTTCCATCCCATTCCTTGCATCTGTGAAAAATAATATCAACCGAACTTTGTGACGACCATTTCCTGCGGTTGTTTTCTTAGTGTTCGTAGGATTGAAAAAAGTGTGGTTGAAATTGTTTCTTTTGAGCTCCCTTCCCTCCATTCAATTTGCAAAACGTTCCCCAAAGGATTTCCATTTGGTACTATTGTACGACAATTTTAACCGACAAACAGTAAAAATGTTCTCCTTAGCGCAAAAACTGCTTTCCTTTGAAGCAAAAACTGCTTGCTCTTTTGCAAGACAAAAACTCCCACGCATGATAAAAATTGTTATCTAAAATTAAATGTACAAAGTGTGACATTATAGTTTACCTGATTCCCGCCTCTCCCCTCCCCTTCTATTCCGTTCTGTCCCCCATACCCTGTGCCCCCCTGGCCTGGTCCCGACTCATGCTCCTGGTCGTAGTCTGCGTCCCGACAGTGCTCGGCCTCCACCGGGAAGTCGTGCTGTGAGTGGGGCGTGTACATAGTGCAGTTCCACCTGTCGCACTGATTGCTACTCAGTCGGGGCTTCTTTGCAGCCGGCGGAGATCCAACCTGAAGCAGAAAATGTCATCTTTAGTATTTTTATCCCATTAAATAATCCCCGAGGTCAACTGCTCTATTAGTCATACTTTGTCACTGAGAACTTGTGTGGAGCGTTCTACACAAGGCAAAAACAGCCGAAGATTGGATTTTTTTTTTCAGATTGGATCTCAGCCGTGTAATATTGCAAAGTAGTGAGGTAAAATATAGGACATCATACTAAAAACTTCGAGACTAAACACCACGTATTGCAACTTGAACAACGATTAAAAACAACTTCACAGGTCTTGTGGTTCTTTTGGTACTTATGGTACTGTTGGTGTTATGGTACCTTTTGTGCGGGCGGTGCTTTTCCGGCCTCACTTCTCTTCGTGAAGTAGTTGACAGCAGCGTACTCCACCAGAGCGAAGAAGACGAAGAAGTAGCACATGAGGACGAACCAGTCCATCGCAGAGGGGTAGGACACTTTGGGAATCTGCTGTCGACTGCTGATTGCAAAGGTCGTCATCGTCAGCACAGTTGTGATACCTGTAAAAAATAAACTGGCCGAAACTCTTCGTACACTCAGCTCCCATTCTTGGGTTAACCATACACTTAAAACAGTTTTTTAAACAATTTTTAAACAATTGTAATTAAACATTCAAGAACATCTTTTCTTGAATGTCCTTGAATGTTTATTTACATCCTTGAGTGTTTAAATGATTTCGTCCTAGGGGGATTTAGTCCTATAGGGGATTTAGTCCTGGAGGATTATATCCGGTGGGATGTTATCCTGGGGGATTTAGTCAGCGAGCGGCTTATTTGTAGTGTAGGTGCTTTTTTTTAATGGAAAACGTCCATCAACCTGCATGACTTTCTGAAAGTTCCTCTATTACAATGAAGTCGAAAATCTTTTTCTTCCGTCTTACCAAAACTGCACAAAAACCTAGAAAAACGTGCTAGTTTACTACAAAAGTTACTACTGATGGTCAGCTTAGATGTTGGTTGCCTGCTCATGGTTTTCAATTTTACGGCGATGATAATATTACAAAATTTCTATTTGATTTAATAGAATTTAAGTTTTTTTTTACCGAGTGAGATTCTGGCTGGTGCTGCTTCTCTGTTGATCCAGAATGCGACCCAGGACAACACCACAATCATCATACAGGGTAGGTATGTCTGCATTATGAAGTAGCCCACATTGCGTCGGAAGTTGAACTTGATGGTCAGCGTTGAGTAATTTCCTGCAAAAAATGATTCTTCTTCACAAAAATCGAGATACTCCACATGTTCCTAAAGCTACAAACTAAATATTTGTCCAACCTTCAAAAAAATTATACGGTTAGATTTTTTGTTTATTTGTTTTTTTTTTCACAAAAAATTATTAGTAAACTAGATAAAACTAGATCAATCTCCGTAAACTAGATAAAACGGCTCGGAAAATAATATTTAACTCGTATTCTCGGCAATACGGACATTCATCGTCAATAATTTATAAATAAGCCAAAAACTCCCATAACTCATGTTCATAATTTTAACAATTCACAGTTTTCAATAAACAAATTGGTGCAAGCTAGCCACAAGAACCGGTCGGTAATGTCCTTGAGACAAATTGCTCTTTTTGGCGGTCAGCCTTAATGAAGGCTGAACCGAATTAGAACCAAAAAACAGTAAAAAACGGTCAAATGGGGCTATAGCCCCTCGGGTCTACATGTTTTAAGGTCTGCATATGGGGGGACTCGAACCCGGTTGACCGGCGTGAGAGACTTGCCTCTAGGCCGCTCGGCCAACTGTGCTTGTTTTATATGCATTTATACTCTTGTTTTATATGCATCTATACTCTTGTTTTATATGCATCTATACTTCACATTTGCTTTGCAACATCCTCCCCCCTGAAGAAGGAAGAACCGGAGCGAGCTTAACGGTCGGCCGCGTGACTTCACGGGTTGCGGTCCTGACAAGGGCGGATCGGGCGCAACCGTCCTGTCCGTAGTTTAGCTTGACGATTCGGGCGAGAGGGTAGTACCCACGCGGACTATCGGGCTCAATCACCCACACGAGATCGTCTGTTTTAAGAGTGAAGTCAGAATGAGTGTGCCACTTGACACGCTTATTCAACGAGGGAACATATTCTCGAAGCCAACGAGACCAAATCGCGTTAGCATATGACTGCGCTCGCACGTACCTTTTCTTTTGATCGAAGTGCTCCCCGGGTAAAAGCGAAGGAAAGCTTGTGGCATGTTGTCCAAGCAAAAAATGGTTTGGCGTTAACGCTTCTAACTCACGTGAATCGGTACTAACGGGAGTGATTGGCCTCGAATTCAAAGCCTGCTCAACTAAGCAGAGTGTTGTTCCTAGCACCTCTTCAGTGACTCGCCTACTGCCTAGGATATCGTACAGCACGCGCTTCAGGCTTCGGATGAGGCGTTCCCAGGAGCCGCCATGATGGGGTGCGCCTGGTGGGTTAAATTTCCAAGTAACACCTTTGTGTGCAAAAATGGTCGGAGCCATACCATTCCAGCTCTTGATGCAGGCAAGCAATTCCTTTTCCGCACCAACAAAGTTCGTGCCGTTATCCGACCAGATTGTGCTTGGCGTACCACGGTGCGCAATGAATCGTTCAATGCCCATGACACAAGAACTGGTGTCCAGAGATGGTACAATCTCAAGGTGTACAGCCCTGGTGGTGAGGCAAGTAAAAAGAAATCCCCATCTTTTTTCAGTACTTCTGCGAACCGGAACGTAAAGCGGTCCAAAGTAATCCACACCCGTATGATTGAAGGGTGGTTGCTTATATTCGAGACGTTCGACAGGTAAATCGGACATAATAGGCTGGATGGTACTTGCTTTGCGTTTACGGCATGTTACACATTGATTCTCGATAGACCGAAGTAGTCGACGCAACCCAAGTATTGCATATTTCATATTTAATACGGAGCGCATGTAATCTAAACCTTGATGAAAATGCTTGTGGTGGAGGCTGCGGGCCAACAAACAAACTAGGGTATGTCGGGCGTCGAGTATTATTGGGTGCTTAGTATCAAACTCGGTATTCACTAAGCGCACAATCCGTCCGGTGGAACGAATGATTCCAGCGGGACCGATAAACGGCGAGTATGTGGCAATTTTACTACTATTCTTAATAGGTTTGCCAGCCGCGAGTGTTTTTAACTCAACGGGGAAGGATTCCATCTGAGCAAGATGAATCAGTTTGCTTTCTGCAATATCAAGTTCAGTGGGGTCGGTGATTCGTAAGTCCTTACCACAAAAATGCTTATGTGAAGGCAACATCCTCAACATAAAAGCGACTACTCGTTTATATCTTGTAAAGGAACTGAACCTTTCCCAATTGAACCCGTGTTCGGGATGTTTGATGGATGTGACATCGGTGACGAAGGAAGATGATGTCTCCAAGCAATTATCAACATCACAAGAAGGACCCTTCAAACGAAATTTATTGATTACACGTTTGTCGGGTATAAACGGCCAATCAGTAATCCTGAGAATGCTCGGACCAATAACCCAGCTGCTATCCTTGAGGGCTTCCGAAAAAATCCCCCGCGTACCGGTATCAGCTGGATTATCGACGCTCAGAATATGGTGCCACTCATCAATAGTGGTCGATTCGAGGATTTCGCCGACACGATTAGCGTTGAATACAGGTAATTTTTCAGTGGAGTTTAGCCACTCCAATCTGTTGTACTATCTGTCCACATGTAGACATGATTAATAGAGACGGTAAGGGCGGTCTGTATATCATCTTTTAGTCGTGTGGCGAGCAGAGCAGCTTGAAGCTCTAGCTTCGGTATAGATAGCCTTTTCATGGGCGCAACACGAGCTTTACCAAAGATGAAGGATATTTGAGTTTTATGCGAGCTCACGAGTCGCGCACGCAAAAATCCAACAACACAGAAAACGTCCTGCGAGCTATCACCGAACATGTGGAGCTCAATTTGATCAATAGGCTCTGTGAAGTAACAACGGGGAATAGTCAATTGCCCTAAGAGAGAGAGACCGGAGTGCCACTCGAGAAACTTATCTCTTATGTCTTCTGGCAATTCGTCGTCCCAACTTTGACCACTGATTTTCCAAATATCTTTCAGTAAAAGACGGGCCCTAACTGTGTATGGAGCTACTAACCCAACAGGGTCAAACACAGAAGAGACGAAACTCAAGACGGTTCGTTGAGTTATTGCTTTATCGAGAGGGCGATCCACGCCTCTGCTAACAACCAATGTGTCTTTCACATGGTCCCACTTAAGACCTAAGACGTGTGATGATTGTTCGGCACCGTTACATATTTCCTTGATGGGTGACGACGAGGTGTCGGATTCCTCGGGGTTCATTGCTGAAGTGATTTCATCAGCATTACTGACAAATTTAGTCAAATTAAATCCTCCCAATTCTTGTAATGAAACCAAATCGCGGTTAATTTTAATTGCATGGATTACGTTCTCGAATGAATCCAAGTAATCGACCATGTAAAATTTTTCATTTACGACTGAGGCGGCCTCTGGGTATGTGGACATAATATCAGTTGCTGTTTTTCGCAACGCGAAATTGGCGCACGTAGGTGAATCCCGTGCGCCGAATATATGGCGAGTGTACTGATGAACTACCACATCGGAAGTGGTATCCTCCCGCCACAAAAAACGGAGCGAAATTTGATCGCGGGCAAGGACTCCTACCTGGAGGAATATACCTTCTATATCCGCGGAGACGGCGTACTTGTGTTGACGGAATCGCAAAAGTACAAAAATTAAATTTTGGAGTAGGTCCGGACCCACCAATAAGGACTTATTTAAGGATATGCCGTGAAACTTAGAAGCCCCATTAAGGACTCGGCGCACCTTACCCGGCTTATTCGGATGTACGACGGTATGGTGCGGAAGGTACCACTCGCGATCGGAACGCTTACGTGGATCATGCGGTCCGACGGTAACGACATATCCTTTCCTAATGTCCTCTCTAAGTGTTTCTGCGTATCTTTCGCGCAGCTCAGGGTCTTTACTTAACCTTCTCTCCAATGTTTTAAATTGGGCGAGTGACGAGTAATAATTGTTTGGTAGACTGACATTATTATCAATCCAAAGCATAGGCACAATGTATCTTTCGCCATTGTGAACGGTTTCAGAATTTAGGATGGATAAAGCTTGTTTATCCGCGGCGGAACGGGCATCGACTTGCTTGAAAGCACCATAGGATTCCAACTCGTACCAGGATTTTATCTGGTCGGTCAGAGAAGAATCTTTAACAACACACTTGAAACACGAAGAAGTAGAATTAACGGACGGCGGCAACGGACCACTTATGACCCAACCTATCGGTAGGCGAACGGAACACGGTGAGTTTTTATCATCTCCCAAGATGAACTCAATGGGTCTAACGGCGTGGTAGTAGTCTTGTCCGATAATAACTTCAACGTCCTCATAAGTATATTGAGTGGGCTTAATAGGTGCTAATTGTGGATATTTATTCTGCAAATCAGCAATATTGATTAATTCGGAACCAATCCGAATATTGTCTTCAACATATGCACAGAGAGAAAATACGAATTCACTATTATTCGGCTCGGAGGAAACTGTAAACTTGACCCTCTGAGTCTCAACAATGGTGGTTGAATTGAAACCACTAATTGACAAGTTAACGGGCTCCCCTACTAAGCCGACACGGTTTACGAGTGACGAAGACACCCAGGAGTGAGTCGATGCACTATCACAAAGAACCAACGTCAGGAGACTGGTTACATCCGAGGATACACCAAGTTTTGCAATTGGCAACAACCCTTTAGAAGATTCAATGTCATGTACATCACTAACAGCGGCATGGGTGGAAGTGTTTGTATTCTCCTTAGATTTGTTTGTTCCAGCCTTATTCGAGACCTTTGAATTTTCCTTCCGAGGAAATATTCTTTCGGCTCCATGGAGCAAGACATTATGTGTGCTATCACACTCTGGCTTCGGGCACTTTTTCGCTCTAGAACATTGCCGGAAACTATGATTGCCATTGAGGCAAGCGAAGCAAAGTTTCTGTTCAGCTACGTATTTTGCTCGCTGAGTAGCATTCTTTTCCTTAAAAACAACACAATTCCACAATGCATGACTACCCTTACACAAAACGCACGGCGGAAACTTAGACTTATCCTGAGCCTTAGCTGGCTATTGGCTGCAAAAATTTTGGTTGTTTTTGGTTTAACTGGTTCCTCGTTTTTTGCCTTAGAGTTGAGTAAACGTAATCTTTCATGCCCCTCGGCCTTTTCTTTCATCCAGTTGTTAAAGTCTAAGAGTGTTGGTCGCTGCCAATTATGTCTAACAGTAAGCATTGACCAAGCATACTGAGGTCAGGCGGAAGTTTACTAACAGCTTGGTTTAACAGGTTAACACTCTTTAGATCATCGCTGAAAGACAATGATTTGAAAACTGCTACGAGGCCAGATATGGCAGAGGAGAAACTAATGACATTTTCCGAATTGTGCATCTTAAGTGGAGGAAAAGTATTCAGCTTATCAAGATGCGCACCAACAATGGCATGTGGTTGCCCAAACTTCCGTTGCAAGGTGGCCAGTGTATCCTTGTACAATTTCTGAATTTCAATCAAGAACCACCAAAACACTTCATCAATTATAATTCTGGCTGTAACTGTACGGCTGTAACTGTACCAGTTTTTTTAGAAAAAAATTTTTCCTCAAAAGAAGTGGTGGATGAGTTGGAAGCAGTTTGTTAATTTATAGTTCAGAGAGTTTGTTCGGGTAGAAATACTTGCCGGATGCATAAGAGATGTTGCGTGAGCTGTACTCGTGGTATCTGAACTGGAACTGAGACAGTCTCAAGTCATCTGCCTCGATAGTGATGGCCTTGTCACTCTGCTCCCGCCATCTGTACACTATCTGGCTGTTGTCATAACCAACTAAAAAAAACAAAGTTTTTGAAAGTCACATTAGTAGTCCAAGTATAATCGTCTATATTCGCCGTCCAATTTCTTGTTTTTTTTTTAAATTGACAGAATTGAAAGTAAAAATAGCGAGCAGAAAAAATGTCCTCTGAGAATCCATTTTTGACCAGAAAGGTCCTCGATGATATTACTTTTCAAAGATAGTTCGTGCAGAAATGGATTATAGTTGCAGAATTTTTGTGAACTCTTATAACTTACACTGTTTTCTGCGGATCAAAAAATTGTACTAGACTGTACTCACAGCTTCCAAATTCAACGATGCACTCTTGTTCGTCCATAGGGAAGTTGGAAAAGTCCATGGGACACCTGGCACTGATGGTCAGCCTGGAACAAAAAAGTAAAAGTTTCTATCAGTGATCATCTTTGACAAAATATATATTTGTACTTTCTTTATAGATATAGATGGTAGTTATTTTAAAAAAGGCTTCAAAACAAAACAAGACTGCTCGTATCAGGGCGAAGCCCTGAATGTTCCGACTGCCTTTGAACGTTTAAGGAGCAGTAATAACCTATAAAAATAAAATGTAATAAAATAAAATGAAAATTTTTTTTTCTAAAATTTGAATTTTTTTTTAAACAAAAATCATCCCCCCACACGCCATATAAAAGACAAAAGGATAGATTTCGCTCCTTGTAACAAATCAATTATGGCAAATAAGCTTCTTCCAACCAATTTGGAACGATTTCTAAGACGGATTAAATCTCCGCTTACGCGTTAATAGCGCGAAATATATCGCGCTTTAATTGTCCCAAATTGGCAATCTTTAAACCCCCATAACTTAACGAAAAATGATCACAGGTGAAATATCTTTTCAAATTTAAGCTCAGGACAACAATAAAATTCCATCAAAAATGGCTAGTTAAAAAGTCGAAATTTGTCTGAAGAAAAAAAAACCCACCCCGAGCACAAACATTCCGTTATTCAAGGAAAAATTTTGTGCGAAGGAAAATTAAACTTGACTTATCCAAAAATTAAAATCAATTGTCCACGAGGCGAAGGACCAAAAACGATCTGCCTCATCTGCCGGCAGCGAGCACGGGTGATGTTGTTCTTCAAGCCACGAATATTCATAAGGCGAGCCCATTAGTCATTCTATTTTGAATTGACACAAATTTATTGGTATTGGTTCAAGTAATACATAAACTATAAATTAACTATTGTTCCGACTTTCGATACGAAAGTAACGGAATATTTGTGCTCGGGGTGGGTTTTTTTTTCTTCAGACAAATTTCGACTTTTTAACTAGCCATTTTTAACTAACCATTTTTGACTTGTGATCATTTTTCGTAATGTTATGAGGCTTTAAAGATTGCCATTTTGGCCATTTTGATCAATTTGGGACAATTAACGCGCAATATAATTCGCGCTATTAACGCGTAAGCGAGATTTAATCCGTCCTTTAAATCGTTCCAAATTGGTTGAACGAAGCTTATTTGCCCTAATTGATTTGTTACAAGGCAGGAAATTTATCTTTTTGTACTTTATTTGGCGTGTGGGGGGATGATTTTCATAAAAATTTCAAATTTTAGAAAAAAAATTTCATTTTAATTTACTTCATTTAATTTTTTTTATGTATTACTGCTGCTCAATAAACCTTAAAAGGCAGTCGGAACATTCAGGGCTTCGTCCTGATACGAGCAGTCTTGTTTAAATTTTACAAGGCCCGAGGTCAAAAAACTATCAAAAAACATTCCAAAACATATTATGAAACAATGTTATAAATGTTGCAGTTGTCAACCTAAAGGGCAACCATACAAGACTGCTCGTATATCAGAGCAAAGACATGAATGTTCCAACTGTCCCTTAATTCATATCGAACAGTTTTTGGGAAAAGGAAATATTGAAAACCTGTAAAATTTGGACAAAATCAAAGTATACAATTTTGAGTCGTACGAAATTAATACGACCAATTAGATAGCCTCAATTCAATTTGGAGCGATTTTGTTGTGCGGGGTAATTCGCCACGCATTAATAATTCGCTTTACGCACTCAGCAAAATGAATAAATTCTTCAAAGCGCGCATAATTTAGTCCAGAACATGGCCAATTTGCTAATTTTCAAACATCCAGAACTTTTACAAAAAATGATTGGACGTAGAATATCTTTTTACATTCGAACGCAGGATTTCAATATCTTCAATGGGGTATAAGTTTGTTTTGTCGAACACTATCATTTTGATCGGCGAAAATCAATTGAATAAAAAAACCACACCGAGCATAAATATTCCGTTTTCTTTAAAAGTCGGAACAAAAACGAAGTCGAAGTTTTTAATCAAAAATGGATTCAAAATTGTCAAACTTTTTACCGTCGGATAAATGTATAGTACTGTCAAGTAAATATACGCTCTAAATTTGAACCTTCTCACTGTTCTTTTGATTTTTTGTCCCTGTGAAAGTGATCAAAAGGCAATATTCAGCCAATTTTGACTACCTCATAGAAAATTCGTACAGATTCAAATGTGGAATCTATAGGAGGCCCTACTAATTGTGTTTTTTTAAAATGTTTTTTGACTAAAATGGACGAAATTGATAAAAAAAATGACCTTCTTAATTTCATTTTTCAGTTGTTTGCATTATAATTACTCTTCTTCTGCATGTTTCATCTTATTTAATTGTCTTTTCTAGAAAACAATTAAATTCAAATTTTGACAACGTATTGCGATAAATTTATTTAAAAAGAGCTTATTTTATTAAATCTGTTTGGTTGGCTTGATCTGAGCTTTTTGCATAGCAATTGCTCAACTGATTTTGCTTAAAGACCTATCAGTCAAAAACAAAACCTTCCCTATCATATTAATATATTTAAAGTAGCCGTTTTTGCTTTTCATCTCAATGAGCACCTGGTGACTCTTACTGTTTGTCTAAGATTGCTCTCCCGAAATAGATATCTGCACTTATTGTTCTGACTTTCGTGCAAAATATCAAAAAATTTATACTTTGAGTGGTTTTTTACCCAGACCACTTTCGATCTTGATTAATTGTTTTTGACAGAGTCTTATACGACTTGGAAGATATCAATGCTTTGAGCTCATTTTTAAGTCGATTTGTTAATTCCAAAAATTTACTGTAAAGTTATGGGGGTTTGAAGGGCGAGAATATTTTGAGATCATTGGTGTGTGACTCTTTTATCTTAATGAAGCGTCCTACTAATTAGAAAAAACGTTACAAAGTACAGAAAAAGTTGCAGAAAACAACGTTTTATAATACGTTATAGACGCTAGGTATATCCCCGGGTTGACCTTCATACAAAAAAGAAACTTTTTTTATTTACTTTCACACAAAAAGTTAATCATCATTAATTTACATTCATAGTTCTTTGTAAAAACGGTTGTCCTACGATCCCCATTTAAGCAAATTGTATGAAAAGCAATTTTTCCACTAATTGTCTAACCGTTTTCAGACATCCATCCAAAAAAATTGTTCTGGTAAGTTTAAAAGAGCTTACATCGAGTTTTAATTGAATGCGAACAAATTGGACATCAATCGAATGAGAACAAACAACACTCTAAGTTTTTACTAAAAACTTATCATACAATTTCTAATCAAAAAATTTTCTTTGTATGCAAAAGCACAATTGTTCACAGAACTGAAAAAAGATCACACTGAAAACTAGCTGTGATGGCAGAATGTGTTCTTTGCAGGTTTTAAAAAAAAATAACTTAGATCTGTGGCAAAAACTGGTCACGACTTTCAATTTCTGAAATTTTTGAATGGAAAACCTGGAAGCCGTGAACAAAAAATTTCATTTTTTGGACGTTTTTTTTGCGAAATTCAATGTCTATCTTTCTTGACATCTATCAATACGTAGCTTAATCTGCAATTTTAGGGCCGTTTAATTTGTAGGCTTTTTTCATTTGATATTACTTTTGCTTTTTGTATTTCAGGGCGAAACACCAATACAAACGAAACATAAAAAAGTCATATGAAAAAAAATGCTTGTCTCACAATTGCATAGTCTGAAAAAAAGCTTGAATTTCGTACAGCTTTTTCAATATATGGAATTGACCCTCACTTTGTTGCCTGTAGGTCACTGGAAACCAGATAGCAGGCTTCCGAGATGTTCCAAATTGTAAATGGATTCCACCAACAAAATATCTGTGGATTCCGCAAACAAATACCTGTAATGTAAGTTTTGTCGGCACTCTAGTTGCGTCGCGGATTACACAAGAAGCGAACATATTTAGCTGTTCTCGGTTTTTGAAGCTTAATTCTCTGAAATTTATGACTTTAGATTATTTTTTATTGATACTCTGTCAACTTTAAGCTAGCAAGGTTAAACATTCGGGACCTAGTGAGTTGCTACCCCACTATCTTTTTATTGCAATCCTATGCTCATACTAGCTGAGCTACCTGGTCTACAATGAGAGTCATATACTGATTTCTCTAAACTAGAAAACTGAGATGTCTTACAACCTCTTATGGCTCCTAAGTGATCATAATTCAGTTTGATTAGAGTATAAGCAGAGCTTAGCGGATTCCCCAAACTGTAAGTGGATTCTGCATATGCAAGTGGATTCCGTAAAATTGTAGTGTATAATATAAAAGTGTTATTTAATTCCAGTAAATTAAATCAAAGTCTGGTCAGAGACTGGTATCAAAGTTTCCAGTAAATTTTCCAGCAAAACCCCGGTCGAATTTGTTTCGGTTAAAAAACAGACCCGTAAAATTCCAAAATTAAATTGTGGTTTTCCACCTTATCTAGTCAAGGTCTAAATCAAAATGACAATTAGTGAATCTTCTGCTGATTAAGTGAGAACAAAAAGCTTGCTGATGAGTCCAAACACAAACAAGGATAGCCGATTGCTGTGTAAGTAGCAATGAAAATTCTTTTTAAAATATTTTAAATTTTTTTCACCGTGGTGTGGTGGAAAGATTTGAACAAAAGACTAAATTTTGAGCATTTTTTCCCAATTAAAAATTGGCATATTGAAAATTAGTTTATTCCAAAACTGACAAAAAAATCAGAATGAAAATGAATTTTTTTTCAGCTGTTTATGCAAAAACTTTCTGGAATATTTGAAGAACTTTGTTCTCAACATGGCGGTAAAAACTCTTTGGCTAATTTACTACTTGTGGTTTTTTGTTTATAATCAGCCTGCATGGTCGCTCGCTTCACTCGCTCGAAATTAGACCAGAAATCAATTAATTCATACCAATTTTTCTCAACACTGAGAAAATTTTTTGGAAATTTTCAATTTCGTTCCAATCATGACGAAAAGAATTTTGATATGATATATCACTCAACACAGCCAGATGATTAATTATGGTACCCAAATTTGCGTGGAAAACAAAAAAAAATACAACCGAATGCAAAGTTCTTCCCCAAACTCAATGGTCGGAGGGAAAAGTTGACCCAAATATTGACATTAAAACAGTGAATACTCACATACTGATAGTAACAAAAATAACCGGTTGCTTTGGAAGTAGCCCAAATTTTTCCAAGTTTTCGGACCCTATTTTAAAAATGACAAAAAAATTTTTTCTTTTAAATTGCAGTGACGTTTGTTTGTCGTGATGAGAGAACCTGATAGAAAGCCTAAGTTTTTCATAGTAAAAATATTTAGTTAATTGACAACATTTTGTTTCACAATATTCAAGATAAAATTTTATAAAATCAAAAAAATTAAACAAGAAAAATCAAAAAAATTCAAAAAAAAACACATTTTCAAATTTTTTTCGCAGAAATTTTTTTTTTCGTTCTTTTTTTTTTTTCATTTATTTCCAAGAAGACGTCAAAAATTAGTAATTAACTTCAATTCAGTAAAACTAAAAGTTTGCTTGTTTTAAGAATTTAAAACAATTACTATAAACCTACTTGCTTGCTTTAATCGCTCTAAATAGGACAAAAAGAATCGAACCGGTTTTTCTCGACACATTGAAAATTTTTGTAAATTTTCAAAGTCTGTCGAATCAGGTCTGAAAGGGCTTTAATATTTTAAATCACTCGACCAGTTCCGATCCTTGTATGTGGCACCTGATATTGCGTGGAAAACAAAAAAAATGGTTATCCGGTTGCTGTGCAAGTAGCACAGAATGACCATGCACATAAAAAAACCTTAAATTTGGTTCACTTTTTTTCTCAATTTATTGTTGGTTTGTATGAATAGGGAGACTAATGGATCTCACAAAAACAAAAAAAAGGAATAATCAACAATTACAGTAAAAGGGGCTACTGGTGCAACGGTTTAAGTCGAAAAATGAAAGTAATAACAACAAAAGATTCTAAAAATATTTAAAATTTTTTTTTCAATTTTGTTTGCAGACTTTTTCTTCAAGTTCAAGTTTTCGATTTTTTTACTAGAGTTAAACTAAAGTTTTATGGCTAATCCTTCTATAATAAGCCTACTCGCCCGAAATTAGACCTTCAAAAACTCAAAAACTTCAAACCGGTTTCACGATTGAAAAAGCTTAACTTTTTTGTGGAAAATAAAAAAAAGAAAAAAAAGAAAAAGAAAAAAAAAGAAAAAGAAAAAAAAGAAGGTCTTTTCAACTCAACTTAGAGCAAAGAACTGATTTTATTCCATTGCACGGCTACCGGCAATTATGCCATTAAATAGACTTAATTTTTTTATGCCTCATTAAAGCTGCTAACAACCGTCTAACCTAAAAAAAATCAGAAATTCGCGACAAAATTTTTTTGAAAAAGTGAAAAAAGAGTTTATTCTATAACGCCCCTATGGCTGATTATTCTTGTTTGATAATAATAATCTATCCTTATGTGTGAACAGAACAATATGACGGCAATATATATTTTGATCATTAAAGACTGAACCTTGAAACTTAATCTAAATAGGCCATCAATTTTCTGCGTATAACATAAATTCCAGTTTTTATAGTTATCTTAAACAGTAGAGTATTTTTAAGCCGTCCAGGATACTAAGTTGTGACCAGTACTTAGTTGTGGTCAGATCAAATTCCAGTACTTTAAATTAGAAGTGCGGGATACTTAGTTGTGACCTGGTGCTGAAGTTGATCTCTCCCTTGCGGTTGAGTCTGAACAACTGGTTGGGTCTGGTGATGTCGTGTATGTAACTGTTCTGCCCATTGCCCCTGAAGAACGTATCCGGTTTCCACACCCGACTCAGCATGATACTGTTCAGCATCAGCGTCTCTATGGTCTCATTGCTCCCCACTCCACCATCCCCTAGCCCCCCACCACTGTCCCCCTGGTCCCCCACCAGTTGAGTCAGTCTGTCCTCGAAAGCCAGTCGCTTGTCACGCCAGAAGTGCCGGAAGAAACACTGGAACGTGAACTCCTGAAGCATACCAGGTTTAATTTAATCTTTCAACGTCTTCTATGCAGGTAGTGCGACTTATCAAATATTGATCAGCCGAAAGAGAAGTTACAAAACCATTTATAAAGTGTCCCTATTTCAACATCTGGTACAATAATAGCACAGAGTTATGAAATGAGATGAAGTTGCTGGAAAGACTAAAGAAGGTCATGTATGTGAGAAAAAACTTTTTAGTCAAGCTACGTTCGATTAAAATAAGTATTGACCAAAAGGTGAGCGTATTAGATCGGCTGTGAGTGAAATTAAATGAGTGTGAGCTCAAAAGTGGCCATTTGTTGATCATTATAATAGTGATTTGTGAGTCAATCTCAGAGGCAACTGGTCTGTTTTCTGCAACAACTGGAACGGGTAACTGCAATTTCGATGCAAAAAAGAAGCGTTTGGTGGAGTTGGACGTACGGGAATGACAGGGTAGCTGGAGGAGTCTCCCTTTCTGCCCCCTCCTCCCCCACTCACTTGGACGCCTGCCTCGGGGTCCACGGCTATGCGTCTGCCCCCGTCCTCCCCCTCCCCGCCGCCCGACTGGGCTTGCTAAAACCACACTCTCCATTTCACCCTAACCGCCACTCTGTTCTCAAATCTAAGCTTCGAACCCGCTGCCGGCGCCAATCTGTATGAAAACGTCTTTGATTTCCGCAAAAGAAGTTCGCAGCTGAAAAAAGTCGGTCTCAATTTATCTGTTATATAGCGACGGTAACGAAAAGCGTTAAATAGTCAATAAAATATCGGCTTTCAAATTTCGAACGAGTATCGCATTTTGATTTTTGATTTCATCTAACTAAGAGTATCATCTTTTTCAACTTTTGTTTACGGTGCACTGCTTTACATGGTTTTATACTAGAAAAATGTGGAAGATCTCGGAACATCCAAGTAACCAACTCATACAGATTGGCGTGGGATTAAACTGAATAAACGGATGAGTGAACTATGCTTCGCGGTAGCAGAAATAGTTAGTACAGGGTGAAATGATTATGACATTGTGAAGTAAGTGTGAAACAAGAATAACGGTCAAAACAGAAGGTTCCGACAACAACCTAGCAACCTAGTAGTAAGAAAGAGCAGATGCATTAGCCGCAACCTAAAACATCATGACACCTATCATTGTGGATATATGAGCCAATCGACGGAACTTCAAAGGTGAATTTCATTGCCCACTCAAACATTTTTTTTTGGTTTAAATGAGCTAAGTTTTCATGGTCAAAATTAAAAGCGTATATATAAGAAAACCCTAGATTTTTTTCGATGACAACTCCAATTGAAAGACCGCCGGATTGCTCTTAATTAAGACCAACAGCGTTTGACATGCAACTTAGAAGCCGGCTCGAAGTGAAACTTTATTTGAAACTAGAAGTGAAACTAGATAAAATTTTACAGAAATCCATGACGGCAAATTTGATTTATACACTCAGCCGATGAAAATTTCGTGATGTTCCCCATCAAAAAACAACTGTGGTCCAGCTATTGAGATTTTTTTTAACTTCCAAGTGAATCAGAAATATTTGGATCAAGTTTACATTCTCACCAAAAATGGTTTAGGGAAGATGGACGTGTGTCAGTCAACCATAGCATAGATTGAGCAGATTTTATTCGCGGAATCCAAATTAAATAGTTGGATGAGTGATTTCGGCATGGTCTGTTTGGTAGAGCGAATGATATAAACTTGATCCATGACTAAAACATTCCTTGCTATCGCTGATTTTAATTTACCGAGGGATGAAACTTTAGGACAGTCTTGTCTCCAAGCAAAACTAAATAATTCTCCTAAATCAGTGAGTTTATTCTTCTAGCTACAGCTGGGTTGTGAGGCTCGAGAACTTGAGAGGAAAATTAGAGACGAACTCATGGATTTGTAAGACAATCGTTACTTTGGACGGTATGAAATAGAACTCACATTAGAATGGCTACTCTTCCTTTTCCTAAATTTGGGCCTCTGCAATAGCAAAAAATAAACAAGGATAGCTGGTTACTGTGCAAGTAGCTCAGAATGTTTCGATAGTCTTATATCCATCGTCTTATAAAATACAACAACGTTTTTTCAAATTATTGTCATTTTTTTCCCGCGTGGTGCGATAAAAGTAGGTGAACAAAACGCTGAAGATTAGTTAAAATTGAGAGTCATAGTAAAATAGGCAAATTGAAAAACCAATTTTGTCGAAAAATTACTTGAAAAACGAAAAAAAAATCAACACACTTTTTTTTCAAATTAGAGTTTTTGCTGCGTGGTGTGTTGAAAGGATCTGAATTAGAACAATAATTTCGGTAAGTTCGCCAGTCATAGTAATATAAGCAAATTGGACAAAATTTTTGTGGAAAAGTGTCCAGAAATAGTTTCCAAAATGGCGCTAAAAACTCCAAAAGTAATTTTATTTGCTTAAAAATAAGCATTTAGGGCTCATAATAAGCATAATAAAGCTGTTATAAGCCTGCTTGCTCGTTTTATTCACTCAAAAATGAAATAAGACTCAAACGTTTTAAACCAGTTTTTCTCGATACTGCAAAAATTATTTGAAAGTTTTGAAATTTTGTTCAAATGGCGACTGAAAAGGCTTCAGTTTGGTATATCACTCGACCCATTCCGATAATTTTTAGTTGCGCGGAAAACAAAAATAAAAGAGAAACAACTGAATACAAAGTCCTTCAACATTTTTCAAATGGTCGGAACAGTATTTTCAAAATTTGTCGACAACGAAATAAACAAACATTTACTCATTAGGATAACAAAAAAAGTTCAGGGTCAAAACTTTTATTTTAAAAAACGGTGTCCGGAGCATCGGGTTGATGTACACAAACAAGTAGGGACAGTGCTCGATTTTGACAACACTTACCTTAAATGAAGTACAAAGTTCTCGGGTTCTAGATGTAAGAAAAAAAAGTTTTTTTTTGTTTCTTCCAGTTCTGTGTTAACTATTTTACTCTCATGTCGAAATTTTTGTAAATTATCCCAATTTGAGTAATTTTATGCACATGTTTATTCTAGCCGTTTTACGGAATTGAACTGAAAGGAAACGTAGAAGGCACCTGACGCCAGTTTTTGGCATTATGCAAATAAAACTAATTATTTTAAATCCTCTTGCAAACAAACAAACACGAATGCAATACGATAATTGCATAAAATTCAAAACTCGGCTTCAACACGACTTCTTTGATAAACTTTCATTTTGAACCTATTTTTTTTATCTTATCAGTTAACCCCTGGAAGTGAAACTAGCTGACACTTAAAAACTATTCTTTGATACTTTCAAGTTTTCAATCCCTTTTTTATGACAAAAAACTTGGTACCAAAAGTGACTCCCTCCGCTAATGCCGCTTGCAGTAACAGAAAGAAAATCGGGAGACTTTTATTCTGTAAAGAGAGTAAACATGCTTGATACTAAATCTAAATCCGCTATAGCTCAGTCTCAAAAATGAAACTGCTGCTCTTTATTTATTTGCATTTGACACCAATGATAAAATTAGCATCAAATTTGATATGAACCAGTTTCAAGTTAACTTCCAGAGTTAGTATCAAATTTGAAATGAACCAGTTTCAATTCAACTTCCAGAGTTTAACTTCCAAAAGCATTGAATGAATTTTCTAGTGGATTCAAAACTATTTCTTCTGAAAAAAGTTTAAATTTTTTCCCAAGCAGGAAATTGGTAGAAAAATCGCTATGTAATTTAAATAAAAGTTCGTTTCAAAAAATTTCATAGACCCAAATAAAAAACTTTGATGAATTTTTTTGCCTTTTAATTAACAGGTTTTTCAAAGCTGTTGTTTTTTCAGAGAGAAATGCTGTTGCAAGATGTTGACGACAGCCACATTTGCATGACATTATTTAAAAAAACTCCCGCGGAATGGCATTTTTTATGGCTGTTCTGATTTTTGTCTCATAAAAAGCGTGAGTCATTGAAATCCGACAGATTGTAACTGTTAAACCTCCGAATTTTGATGTGCGTTGTTTCAGCAAAACCATTTTTAGCTGCAACTACAGGTTAACTACTTGATAGTTTAAGGGTAAAATTTTGAAATATTCATGCGCTATATTGCACAATGATAAGACCGTTTGTATCAAGACATCAAACCGAGTGTTTCAACTATAATTTAACTTCGATGCAAAAGTTTAAAGTTCTTTCCGTTTTTAAAATTTCGCATGTGTAGATAAACAAGTTAAAAATTTTGCGTTCGGTAACGCTCTATTCAATTTTAAATACAGTAAGACTACTCGTATCAGGGCATAGCAGGGCAAATCAGGACTGCCTTTTAACGTCAAGGGATTTTTTTGGCTAGCAGAATTAATTTTAAAAACAACGATTTGATTTACACTGTACTTCTAGAGTGTATACCCACACACGCTGAGGAAGTACAAAAAAGATACTTTGTGTCTTCTTACATATTACCTTGAGCAAAATCCTTGCCTCAATAAATATAGAATGATTTAATCTGCCGCGTACGCTTCAATAGCACGAATTCATCGCGCATGAACTTTATCCCAATTTAAATTTATATAGTCAATTTAGTGCCATATTGAATCCCGATATTTTTTCGGAAAAAGCTCACATTTAAAAGAAGTTTTCCGACTTTCGAAGAATTATTTACTGACAGATTATTTGTGCTCGGGATGTTTTTTTTCAGACAAAATTCCACTGTAGCCATTTTTGACAGAAATGATTAGTATCAACCAAAAAGTATTGTTGTTTTGAGCTCAAATTCAAAAAAATATATTTCACTTGTGATAAGTTTGTGTGAAGTTATGAGGGCTTAAATATTACCATTTTGCCCAGTTTGGGTTAATCAACGCGCGATATATTTGTGCACGCGTGAGCGGAGATTTAATCCGTCTTAAAAATTGTTCCAAATTGAATTGACGCGTGCTATTTGATCTATGTATTACCTTGCTATACGCTAAATGTTTTATTTTGTACTTTACATGGCGTGAGGGGGATAATTTTTGAAAAAAAATCTGAAAAGAAAATTTGATTTTTTGAAAGTTTCATCGGTTTTGTAGGTTTTGTAAAGGGAACACTACTCCATAGATCTTACAGGGCAGTCAAATCATTCAGGGCTTCGCTCTCGCTCCCTGTTACGAGCAGTTTTGTTGTTTTTTTAAATTCGGGTCTTGAGATCAATACTCCTTTGATTATTTTAAAACTGCGTCCAAAATGGGTTGTAAAAAATCGAAATTTATCTGGAGAAGAAAATCATCCAGAGGACAAGTGTTTAAGCTTGGGGAGGGGGAGTTGGAAAAGCAGCCAAAAACTTCTTTATTCATTTTGTCAATCATCTGTCCGTATTCTGGTATCAATCATTCTTGCTTCAAAACAACTTTCGGTAAGAGTCATTCATATGCTAACTTTTTAAGAACGGTCCGTCAAACATTTACGTGAAAAAACAGTTCCGAAAAGGGCGTGGTGAAGGGTTCGAATCCTTATACAGAAAATGTCGATCCCTATTCCCCGTAAGTCCGCATCTTGGTTTTTTTCGATTTTGAATTTCTTCACCTTAGTAACTTGCTGCAATTATTGATACGATCTGAAAAATTTTGTTAAATCAA